TGGCTCAGTTTAAAGTCTTCCAGACGAAGCTCGCTAGAGCATCTCCAAAGAACCTTTTCCCCATCCTCGTGAGGTGTAACCTGTCCCTTGCCAGAAGTCCATTGGCAAGAAAACGAGTGCCGTGGTCGAGGAATCCGAAGTATTCCTTCTGGCACCACACCCTAAGCCAGTTGTTCACCTCGGAGGCCCTCCTGTCCCTTCCTGGCCCAAATCCCCGGACAGGTAAGATTGATGAGAAGGCCACTTGGGCCTTCAGCTCCCCGAGTTTCTTCCCAAAGGCCTCAAAGTCCCTGGTGGTCCCAACCACACCCTGCCTGGCCACATCGTTTGTGCCCACATGGATCCCCAGGAGCGGCTGATGACCCCCAGAGCGAACAAGACGCTCCACTCTGTCCTTCACATGCCAGATGCGTGTGCCCGGCAGGCAGCAAACCTCCCGTCTCCAGGCTGGGGCGGCACACAGGGACTCCCCAACAACAATCACCTGCCGCCGTACCTTCCCGGTGCTGGTGGGCAGCCGTGCCCTGGCTCTCGCCTCTCCTGCAGCGGTCCCCTTGCCGCCTGACATCCCAGGCCGGGGGTCCTGCTGGTCCCCCGAGGCTTCATCAGCCCCAGCCTCCCCAAGTGGAGAGAACCTGTTTCCCAGTTCCAGATTGGTGCCAGGAGGAGGCGGCCGTGCTGGCCTCCTCCTCCTGTGGGTGACATACCACCATGTCTCCACAGCTGCTCCCCCCGTGGCCCCTCCCTCAACCCTCTGTCTAGAGGGGGACTGCTCCGGGGGGGGGGCCTGGAGAGCTCTCTCGGCCCTCAGGCACCTCACTTCCTCTTCTAGCAGGGTCACCATCTTGCACCGAGGGCAAGTGTATCCCTGCTTCTCCTGGGGGAGAAGGGCGAACATGTTGCAGCTCTCGCAACAGACAGCAACACCCATGACTCCAGTCAAGGCCATCTCCTTGATCTCCTGGTCTGCCATCAGTATCCCTTCCGAGACCTTACCTTGGTCCCCTGCCTTGTCTGTCCTGCAGTTCCTCTCACTCGCCCAGTTCTCCCAGACAAAAAACCCACTCGCACACACACACAAGGATAAACTTCAATTTAAATTGGAAGAAAAACAAAGCACAGCGCAAGCAAAACGAACAAACAATCAAACCTCTGTGTCTCAGGGAAGGGAGTCTCCAGACAGCCCGGGCCGCAACATGGGGGCAAGGAGGCCTAATCTTGACTTGGGAGAACATTCCCACAACCTAAAGGACAACCTTGGCCACATCAGCTATTGTGGACTCTGTCATAAAGGCCTGGTCAAGCCACATGGTCCATTTGCTGCCCTTGCAAGTTAAGGGAGGAACTGCATTTTTTCAGCAAGTCATAAGCCTGCACATTGGTGCCAGGCTTTCCACTGCATGGCTCAGACCACAGTGTCTCCAGGGCTTCTGCACAGGAGAGCCCCATTGAAAGGAATTTGGAAATACAATCTCAGCAAAGATGGCAATGCCGTGTCTGTTGCAGCTAAAACCGAAGGGCAAGAAAATTGCCCCAGAAGTCAGCACTACAGTCCCTGCCCAGGACAGTGACGTTGCTCGTCTGTTCCGGGAACCATCCCTCAAAGACAAAAAGAGCTCCATGGAGGCTCTGTCCCGCAGTGTTTCTTCAGCTCTGCAGTGCAACACTGGCTGGGTCCAGACCCTATGCGGCTGCTACAGTTCACAGCCTTTCAGAATTAGGAAGAACACCTGCAAAGGCCGAAACACTGGGGTGAGCTGGGAGAAAATGGGGTGGTCAAGAGAGAGAAAGAGAACAGAATGAGGTGGGTTTCTCAAAGAGGAAGGCAGTGCCAGAGAGAAAATGGAGGCACACGTGCATGTATGTATGCACACAGCTAGTAAACAAGTGATACATCTTGGATCCATCAGAATGCATCCTCTTGATTTTGAGCATTTACTGTGCAAAGATGTTTCACAGAAATTTTGCATCATTTCTGTACAACCTATGCATACAAACTACCATCTGATTGTTTGTAGATCACAGCTGTTCATATCAGGCGTTGTGACAAAGCTTCCCGAAATCCATCCCTCTTCAGGTCTTGAATAGCCTTTTCATGCTCAGACCCATGTTAGAAAGTGAGCCAAGCTGAGAGGAAGTCCATGAACACTCACAGAAGTCTGGATTCACAACTGGCAACTGTCCTCCACATCCTATGCAGCACAAATAAAGCCTGCAAGCATGCGCACCAAAGAGGGATGCCTCTTGTGCAGTTGTGTGGGCTTTGCAAAAGCGCTCCTGAAGGTATCTTGGACCCAAGTCATGAAGGGCTTGAGAGGTAATTACCAACATCTTTTATTGTATCCAGAAACATATTGGCAAAGACTTTCAAATGGGCAATATGAGGTCTCTCCATGATGACCCACAGACCAGCCTGGCTGCCATGTTTTGGACTAGCTGCAGTTTCTGGAGTAGGGCTACACTTGTGCCTATGTACAACACACTACAAAAATTAGGCCTAGAAGTTACCAATGTGTGAGGTACTGTGTTCATTCTCAAGGAAGGGATGCAGTTGCTGAATCAGCTGAAGCTGAGAGCAGACTCTCTTGATCACAGCTTCTGTCTATGCTGACATCTGAAGGGCCAGATCAAGTAGCACCCCCAGTCTGTGAACATAGTCTTTCACGGGGAGTGTGGCCCCATTTAGAACTGGTTGACACACTTCTAATCCTGGATTTGGACCCTTAACAGCAAGCACCTCCCCTTCATCTGGATTCAACTTGAATTTGTTTTTCCTCATCCAGCCCATTAACAGCCTCAGGAAGTCATTCAAAGAGGAGAGGTAGCAGGTGGTGGTAAGGAGAAACAGATCTGGGTGTCAATAACCTATTGACAACACCCAATGCCACTCCTTCGGATGATCTCTCCCAGTGGCTTCATGTAGACATTAAACAACATTGGAGACAGAATGGAACCCTGCAGGACTCCACAAATCACCTCATTAGCCTAGGAGCAGCAGTCTCCAAGCATCGCATTCTTGAACCAACCCAAGAAGCAGGAACAGAACCATCGCAAAGCAGTGCCTCCAAATTGCCAACTCCCTCAGATGATCCAAAAGGATTTCATGGTCGATAAAGGAAGAATAGGGGAAATCTCTCTTCCCCATCAGACCAGAAAATGACAGTCCTCCTCCTTTTGCTACAGAGAATGAAATAGTGCTTCCTGGGTTTTTGGGGGTTTTTTTGGTGGGGGGGTATGCCTCAGGAATGCCAGGGACATGTTCGAGTTCCCTCACCAGCTGCTTGGTCAATATACTTGGAATATCTAACAATAAGAATTCCAAGTGCAGTGCTTTCCCATTGACAAGTGTGGTGAAGGGTATTCCTCCCTGCAGATCCTCCACACCTGACTCCGCTGCCTCAGCCTCCTGCTCTCTTCAGTCCTCCAGTGAAGCAGGTTAACCACCCTACTATGCTGCTGCCCAGTGTCTTTGGCACGTCTTGTAGGAAATGGCAGGAAATGAGACCATGTCATTGGGTAGACTTTGCTCTTGGGCAACAGTCTCCTTGGGATTGCCAATAAAACTAGTTTGTCTTTCTGCTTGCATAGAGACCATCATAGCTGCAGTAATGGCCTTTTCTGTTCAGTTTTGGGTTTATTTTTTTTTGTACCACCCAATAGCCAAGACTTTTCAGTTAATAAACCAAGAGGCTCTTTCCCTTTTTTAGAGTCTCTTTCCAAAATTGAAATAAGAAACATCTATAGCCTGTCCTGAGCTGGTCAGGGCTGGAAATGGAGGGGGCTCTCACACAGGAAGGTACATCCAGAACTGGTTTTTATAAGCCCTGCTAAAGTGAGCAGGAGACGACATGCTTCCTAAATGCAGAGAAACATTTCACTGAATTCAAAACCTGCAACTTCTTAAGTATTTTCACTATAATCAGATCTATTTTCCCGTCTTTTTTGATGCATTGTCTTTTCCCCCACCACTTCACCCTCCACTCCTGGCTCAGAGCAAGGAGAAAAAAAATCAATTCCTCATCTTTTACATTTTTATTTTATTTTTTAGAAAGAAAAAGAAAAGCCTCACAAAATCATGACAGTCAAGTTGATTACTGATTTCACCTGTCACAGTCTTGTGTTTTTGGGAAGTAACATAAATTGTGTTTTAATTTAAATCACACACCAGAAATGGGACTAAAATCAGGCTGTAAGGTGACAAAGAACAGTCCACAGGGGACATCACCAAAATCCAACGAGGTGCAAGCCTGACCGGGGTAGAGGAAGTTGTCAGGGGAAAAACCCTGGGCACCTGGATGCAGAAGATCAACGGATAGTTTTGACTGGGCTCTTGAAATTGCTGGCTGCCTGAAGCTGCAGCTGGTAAGCCATAGGGTGGATCTTGAATCCATAAAGTCTGGAATAGAAATGTGGAGGGGTTAAAATGTCAGTGGGGAAAGAGAGAGGAAGGCCTGGCCAAACAACCACTATATATTTCAGGTAAAAAGTGAACATTTTCAAAGCAAACAGTCTCCAGAAACATGTCACATTCTGCTGTCTGTTTTGTTCTTGTTTTTAAAGAAAAGTCTGACTTAACAGCCAGAAGAGGAGACAGCATGAAGGTATACTTACAAGACTTTGGGGAAGAACAGAACTGCTCAAATTCCAAGGATGGTCCCTCCCCCAACAATGTGTTTCAAAAAGAAACGTTCTACAGAACTAATTTTCAATATAGACCCTAGCTACCCTTCTCAAGAGGGGAAATAGAAGAAACTCTAATGGAAGAATCTAGAACTTTAACTAGGGGAAAAACTAGGTAATTTTTTCTAGCCACTGAAATGAAACCATGCTGAACCACAAGGAAGGAAAGGCCAGCAGAAAACCCACAACATCTGTAAACTGAGAGACATGCCTATTCAAACTGGAGACTGACTGTGCTGTCAGATTATGCTGCCCCTCAAAGACTGCTCATGTAATACACTTCTCTTATGAAGTTTGGATGGGATTCCTTTCTGCTTTCCAAGTGCTGGAAAAGCTGAGGGGTAAGTGGTCATCTCAGAAGCAACACAATCTGAGGTATGTTCCATTGAGCATGTCCTGGATGTATTCCTGAGCAAGCTCTGGGAAGAACAGCCCAGCCTGAGTGCAATATCAAATTAGCTGCCAGCTTTATCTCAATTTCCCCAATAAGAGAGGACCTGAAGGCATTTGCAATAATGCACAGGCCTCTGGGGCATCTTTCCATTATAGCACTTAAGTGCCAATGAACTGGGAACAACTGAGTGATGCTGGCCCAGTCAAAAGGCAGTTTGGATTTCCAGCTGTTATCCCACACTAACGGAGAGGATGCCCCCAAGTGTATAACCTCAGAAACCTCAAGCATATTCTTTCCCTTAGTACTCAAAAAAGTCAGAGCTTGTCACTCCTTGGCCAAAGTCTGTGGCAAGAGATGAGTGGCACCAGTAACATCACAGCTGGCTAAGCCTAGCCCCCAAGCACCATAACTGGGGAGAGTATCTAACTAATGGGAATAGCAGAGACACACAATCAAGATCTGTGCGGTGAAATTCACAAAAGGGAAGAAAATCCTAAAACCTTGCCACCCACATTCTCCTGGATTACGTCCACCTGAAATCTTTTAAGAGGCTCTCACCTGGGCACAAACTGGTTGGCTGGCCGTTTCGGCCGATACTCAGGATGCACCATGAACAACATGTGAGGGAAACCAGTCCCAAAATAAGCTCCATCTGTGTGATGATGACGGGAAGATTTGGGAGTGTAGACATCCATGCACTTGGGGCAATATAGTTTGACCATGGCCTCCCCTGGGATATCTGATAAGCCTATGAGTGAAGAATGCAAAAAAAGTTTAGAAATGAAGTGGTTCGAAGAAACCAGGCCTTTTGGCTTCCAGGTACAGCCCCACCAACTTTATTTCCAGCATCAATGCTAAGATCAATTCTTTTCAAAAGTTTATTATACTACCCAAAGGTCATCAAAAAGCAACAAAAAGAATTCTGACAATATAAAATATACTATGAGTAGAAAATCAACTTAAATTTAACTCTGAATCTCCAATGCAGTTTGCACTGAAATCAATGCCAAGATCAATTTGCATTGTGAACAAGTGATGATTCAATGGTATAACTCTGAACAGCCTTGCCTGAAGTCTTTATTAGTATCCAACCCGTCTGCCCCAAAAAATCCATGCTCACCAATGGGAAGCATAGGTTGGTTTTCACAGTACACTCGAGGACAGTAGCCGAAGTCTCCTTGCTGGTATTTTTCAAGCTAGGAAAAGGCAAGAAAATGTCAACAACAGAAACTAGATAATCCCATCTGGTGAAAGAGGCAACTGAAAAGCACAATAGGTTGCTTCGAAAGGTCCATCATTTCTAAAAACTTTGAGAGCTGATCTAGGACCGGTCAATTAAGCCATCCATCCAGCAGATATTGTGGTATGGGTTAGTGTGCCTCTCCTTCAGTTTCATTACTTCTAATTTGGGGCTGGTTGTCTCAGAGCATGAAGAGAAATTATACATGGAATGGTTACTCAGCAACATGGACACTCACCATTTGGGCAATGCCACGGTTGGTGAGAATGTAGCGGGCATGAATGAGTCCATAGAGCATTTCAGCAGCCTGTTCAATCAAGTCACTCTGGTTAGGATTGTCCTCAAGCTCTTCATCTGCAGTAGGAGGGGAAGGACAAAGGCCCGTTAGAGTATATCAACAGCACTGATAAAGAAGAATGAAGGTCTCAGAGTTGTTTACTCCTGCCCATTATATGAACAGCTTCTAAGCCCATTTATATTTCAGGGCTGGTACAGCCCAAGTACTTGTGCAATTTTTGTCCTATCTCCTTGTCTTTTACTATCTTCATAGCACATAAAATTCTAATTGTTCTCTACAGTACAAGGTAATGACAAAATATATTCACCAATTTTGCCAAATTTACAGTTTTGTACAAAAGTGAAGAGAATTCTCCACTTCTCAAACACTATATAGGTACAGAGCTGATTGACCAGTAACATATTTCAATTCTGAATAACTGAAGAACAAACTTTGGCAGTTTCCAAGGCAAGATGTTCCAAAAGCAAAGAATGTAACTAGACCAATACTTCATATTATTCCTTCCAAAGTCTTAGCCACTGCTCTTAAATGCAATCCTATGGTTCCTGGAGAACATCCCAGAAACCATAGGATGCCTTGGAGTCCCCCACTCCAAAGCCATGGGCATTACTATTATTTCAGAAAGGGACTCAATCCAGATCCTTTTCCTGCTCCTCTGCAAACATTATAGAAATAACTGCACTGGATGTTTCCCAGGACTGCAGAAGCAGCCTCAGAGGGCCTAGAAGAAAGACCAGGATGTGATGTTTCCTAAGGCCTCTTCAACTCCATATCTGGCAGCACTAATACTCCAGATAGGATGAGGGGCCCATCTAGAAGAAAAAGAAAAAAAGGAAAACCAAAAGTTGCCTCTTTCACTTCTATTAAATTGAAAGCCTCTGTCAAACAATGATGCAACACATAGGATTGTACCCTTAAAGTGGTAACATCTTTACTTATGATTCCAAACACACTAACATTAGAGCAAAAAACATATGTACATAACTAAGACCAAAAAGATGATCTGTGGTCACACAATAACCCTCAAGTGGGGTTCCTTCCACTTAGAATACATCTTACATATCTTTGGATTGATAATCTTCATGTGCCTTTTTATCAAACACTTATTAGCATGATATTATATATTATTAGCCAACAGCTACTTCTGTTTATCATAAAAGGGTAATTCTCTGAAAGTCTCACTGTATAATACAAGAAATCACTATTTGAGACATCTTGTAAAAAACAAACCCAAGATTACATACATCTTTTAGAAGTGTGCACAGCATTCAAGCCTATAGTCCAACTGTACAGTCTAGAAGTCCACAAGTAGTGCACATGTAAAGGGATTTTCAAGAGGGTGTCCAGCTAGCTCTGCTCTGGAGAGTCCAATGCACATGTGGCCACACACCCTAGCTATGCTTACAGAGGTACACATATAGGGCCCCTTCAAACTAAGGGCAATAATCCAGGAGTGGAACACAGGGGAAGGTGGGAGCAGGGCTTCTCAAAAAGATTTCAGATGTCTGTTAAATTATTCCATCCCCCTGAATAAAGGGGGGGGGGGAGTTTTAACAGGGCAAAAGTTGGCCGCAAACCAAATTGATAGCAAGTTATCCAAGATGTACTCATTTTCAATACATCAAGAAGCACAGTATCTCACCAGGTTCTAAGTCAAGAATCATATCCAAGGCTTGGCGATAGTGAGGAACTTGCTCATTGAGACCAGTTAAGTTGAATTTGTCTTGAATGTAATCTTCATCCACCTAGAAGAGATACCAAATACCAGTTCAACCAAATGAATCATCCCGATTTCTCCAATTCCCTTGACTTGTTTGATTTCTCAAACTCCCTTAAACCAACAGAACTGCTGGAATATACCATAACTCCTAATTAATCCATTTAAGTCTTCCTCCCCACAGGAAGCCAAAGCCAACTTCTTCCCCTTTAAATATTTGTGAGTGGGAATCACATTGCCCTCACTAGCACATCCCACAGGTAGCTTCAGCAAGCCTTTCTTTCCAACTCACCTCACAAAAGAACTCATTGCCACGCAAGCCACAGAACCAAGAAATCCAGGATACCTCTTCCGAGCTACTCATCTTCCCGTCCTCTAGAAAAAATCAAAGGACACGAGAATCCACAATTTAAGCAATCTGCTCTTCCAGCTGCCCTTGCCTTAGAAATATCTCATTAGGAATCTACTACCCTTTCAAAGCACTTTTATAGGAACTAGAATCTGCAGTAACTTCTCCATCTTTTTCCATGTTGACAAGAAAACCACTCTGTGGCAGTGCACGAGTCCCGAGGGGCAAGAGAATACCACAACCTGTTCCATTCTGTTTGAATGAAAACCTCTCCTCCTGCTCACAAGGAAGAATTCCCTCCGCAGAATGGCGTAACCTCTGTACGTACCCTCCTCTTTTGCAAGAAATAAGCAGAGGACAGAACTCTTCCTCCCCTTCCTTGATTTTTCTTTTAACCCATAGTACAAACATCCTCACGCCCTCCCTTAACCTTGTAGGGGCAGTCCCATTGCCCGAAATTCCCCCCTTTACTTTCTACAGAATACCTCCCATACCGGCATCCCAAGAACTCACCCGAGGGGGCAGAAATGCCTCAAGGAGGGGAAAACGGGGTACAGCTTTTGAACCTGTAAGGCCTCTACCAGCTTCTACCGCGCACGCGCTTCTCTCCCGGATGGAAGGGCATCACGGGATTGTAGTGCTTCAGAAGAAGGATGAAATAAGCCTACCAGGCAGGAAAAACTACAAGTCCTAGAGTACAACGGCAAAGGAAGTTAACAAATCAGCCATGCCGCGAAGCACGCTGGTACTAGTAGTCTAAGTGACCCGTAAGCCTCAAGCAGTTTCTGAAAGCAGAGCTATTCGACAAAACTACCATTCCCAAAGAAATAGGGGCGTTCTTTAGGACTCGAAAAAATATGCCTAGACTTTGAGAATTGCTTTGGCGTTTTCTTAGAAGCTGCACGAGGAGGAAGTTTAAAGGATTCCCAAGTGCCGGCTATCACCCATGAATAAGAAATTTCAGCTTTGTCGTATATGTAGAGGTGGGGAGAGGCTCCAAGCTCTTAATTTTTCCGATGGAAAAAGTATAATGGCTTAGGGTATCACACGAAAACTCGCGGACAGTGGGCAGACGGGACGTCGTATGTACCTGTAAGACCAATGGGAAGGCAAACAAAGAGTTAATGATTAAAAGTGAGAATTACACTTCGAGGAAATCATCAACAGAAGAGGACGCAGAAGTGGGAGGGAGACAAACTAAGGAAAGGAAAGTGCGGGGTACAAAAAGGGCGGAGTGGAGCAAAGACTTGAGAGTAAAATCCTATACGGGTCTGCTCAGACGTTAAACACATCTGAATTAAGTGGGGCGTACTCCTAGGAAAGTACGGATGCAGACTGCGCTTTTAACTACTACTGATCTGCCCAGGAGAAAGCAGCAAAGCATACACCCAACAGAGGTCCGAGTGAGGAATGTTAACGACAGAAACGAAAAAGGGAGAAAAACAAAGGCACTCTTGCTCCAAATACAGAGCACAAAAAAACAGAGGTGGACTGGTTCACGGGGACCGATAGATGGAAAACCCAAAACCTACTGTTGAGCAATACCTGTATTAGGACCCAGCGAAAAGTCACAAAAGATTGAGCAAGAAGCAGCTATGCTTGTCCTGGACTGAAAAGAGAAAGACCCCCTACCTCCCATGCTGTCTGCCTTGCTTGGTGAGAGAGCAAGGAGAAACCTCTGAAGGGTTTGTCCTATTGCGCGCGCACCCCCCCCCCCCCGCTTTTATTCAGCCAAATTCATCATCACCCTTCATGGTTAACACGTGCAAGTGATTTTTCATTAAGCTTTCTGTTACGCTCTTAGTGCATTTCCTGGAGAGCACACCAGCTATGAATATATACTTAGCAAGAAGAGGTATTTGACGAAATGGGGTGGAGGCTCAAGACCAGAAGGTGGTGTATGGTTTACCCATAAGGAGGCTGCTCCACTTTGTTCAAAGAGAGCAACTGAGTAGCAACCAGATCAGCCTCCTAGAATGAAATGCTGATTTCCCTTCCCCAGTAAATTACCATCCCTGATGCTGGTGCTGCTTCGGCGGCTCATTCTGTCTGTGGTGCCAGTTCTCAACATGGTTGTCATATAATGTTTTATCTAATTAGCCATGCCTGTTTAATGGAAAAGAATATAATTGAATATCAGTAATATGCACAGTAAGGGGTGGACATACAGCATGTGACTGTCGTCAGTCATTAAAGCTGTAATCACTGCTCCCAAAAGACTTCATTTATACATGTTAATATATGGTGTTGTCAGTTGCTTGTGAGGGGGAAAGGTAGGATATACTTATTTGATAGCATTGTGGGTATTCTAATCTTACTCAAATATTATGAATAATCAGTGTCAAAGAGGTATAACACTTTTCAGATCATTTTACTTCATTTTTAAATTTCCACCATTTAGATCCTTAGCTTTTACTTCATGATTATCTGGATATTGATTATAATTATTCTATTATTTTTCAGTCATTACTGTGCTGTATTTATAAATGTTGTGAACCCACTTTGACTGTAGTAATAGCAGGGGAAAAATACATAAAAACACTTAACACCTAAACCTTAACCGTTCTGATTCTAAGATTGTTAATGACAAGGTTATAATTCTAAAAATGCACAAGCCTGCTAGAAAAGTTGTTTTCTTACAAGTCTGGTGGGGTACAGTGCTCATTTTCTAAGAACCAGCTGCTGCTTTAACTAATGTATCCCCATTAAAAATTCAAGAACGGTGAAAAATATCAGAAGCTATCAGGAGAGTATGGCGAGATAGGGAAAGTAGGCTAACGGCTGCAGAACGAGAACGGTTAAAAACTGGATTTCCACAACGACAGAAAGGCGGGAAAACGCACGAAGTACCATTGACAAGTGCGCATGCGCACTACTTTTAACGTCACGCTCGCCCCTTTCCGGAAGCGCGCTTGAAGTGATTTGGGCGGGGCCGTCCTTGCCTCAAATATTCACCGCGCAGGCGTAAGAACTACAATCACCTGGCAGTGATTCTCTGCCTATAGGGAAGGTTCTTTCCTTAGCACATACATTTCTGTCAGGGGTTCAGCTAAAATTTGCACCTTTTAAAACACTAAAGGCACCTTTTTTTTTTTTTTTTGAATCACCCACGCCTACTGTAGAAGTCGCTGCAGCTGAATTGTGCTTGCGCTTTTCAAAAGTTTGCAGGTCAAGCGTATTCTTACGGGATTGAAACTACGCATGCGCAATGGTTCAGACTGGTACGGGCGACCGCCCCGGAATATGCGCTTTATAGTCCTTTGATGTCTGATCTTTACGACCATAGTTGTTGTTAGTCGCGAAGTCGTGTCCGATCTATCGCGACCCCATAGACAAACAGAGGTTTATTAAAAAATAAAAATAAAAAATAGAAGGATATACAAGCTGAAGTTCCGTTAAAAAAAAAAGAAAGGAAGGAAGTTGTCCTTGGCCGTGGTTCCCCATAGTCGTGGAGTGGTTTCGGTCTCTATCCTTCCGTGGAGAGTCAAGCATCTGATCAATCTTGGAATTACTAATAATCGGCAAGTCATTCAGATTTTCTATTTCTATGATTAAGGCAACCTCCTGCTGCGCGTGCGTAGAAAAGCCAGTAGAAAGTGAGATTATATGCTTTAAAGTCGTTTCCGAGTGTTGTCATTTTTCTTGTCGCTCTGGGATTCTTGTAGCCGGTTCTCTATGATGAGGCGGAACTTTCTTGCCTGGGGAGGATGGATTCAGGTTGGTGGAGCTTGGGGGGCAGTCCCGGGGGGGCAGGAGGGCCTCTTTATTTCATTGTTACATTTGGTAACGCCTTCCCTCCTCCCCCCTTCATAAGGAACCCAAGGTGGCTTTCCTCAGCCTCCTTCCATTTTATCCTCACAACAAGCCTGTGAGGTAGGTTAGGCTGTGCGCCCACGTCATTCAGGGAGTTTCAGGGCCGAGCGGGGGTCAGAACTCGGGTCTCCCGAACCCCGGTCCAGCATTGCAACTGCTACCCCATGCTGGCTTTCAGATTGCTTGAGGGTAGGGTGGGGAGAGCATCCTTGCCTTTATTTCCTCCCGCCATGGCTTAAATCCGGCCTTGGCTCCGTTTTGTAGAGAGCACTTTATTTGCAGGATATTCCAGGCCCAAATGGCTTGTATATCTGGTTAGGCAGCAGTTCTGAAAGCTAGGAGGACTCTTGTTTCCAATCGGAAAACAAGGAATAGTGCAAGTTTCTAATAAGATTTTTAGAGCTTGGCCCACAGGGACCCAAAAAAAAAAAAAAAATCACACAAATTTGCTGTGACGCAAATGATTCGCACATGTGTTCTGAATTGTGTGTGTGTTTAGGGGGTCCTGTTGCTAAGAGCATCTTATTTGTAAAAAGGCGTATATGGACAGGGAAAAAGGCATGTGAGATTTTTAATGAATTATGATTTAGGAAAAAAAAAACCTTCAGGAAACATCCTCGGGCAGAAAGAGCTGGGGCGAAGGCATCAGAAGGTAAAACATGTAGGCAAAAAGCCACCCAATCCAGGGAGATCAGTGCAGCAAAGATTATCAGGGATCCTGTACCTTAATTTGAGCAAAAGTCCAGACACCAGAGTGTGGGTAGGTGATTTCCCAGAGATTCCTGGCTCTAGCCCTAATGGGTTGCCTAGTAGTACCATCTCTGGTTTACTTTTGTCTTGGAGCACATCGAGATGAAATTAACATTAGAAGGATCTTTTTTGGTATATCTGAAGAAAATTAAGAGGGGGGGTCCAAAATCCATTGGGCAAAACAAACTTTTTTTTTCTTCAGTCACCCTTGATTAGCTGCTAGCCAAAGTGGATCAGGTGCCAGGTGCCCTTCAGGTGCCAAGAGGATGCACAGTTAACATTTGTTGATATATTTTATCCTGTCAACAAGAATTAATCAAAGTAGATATTTAATCGGACTGCATATGTTAATTGGCATAACTTTTGCCAGGGTGTTTATGGTATCCATATATTATCCATAGAAATGGCACAGTGAATCATTTTCTGTTAATAATGTGATGCTCACTTTCTGCCTTTCCTTCTCATCTGACTCTTAAACGTTTTTCCTTCTATATGCACTGTACATGCCCGTGTGCACATGGTGGGCATGTCATGAGCCGAGCTGGCTGGTGCCAGAGGTCAGACTAGATGGCCCGGGTGACCCCTTCTGACTCACTCTGTTTCTGTGTTTCTATGGATATCACCCTATAACTCTGTGGTGTTCCATACATCTGTTTAAGTGGGATGTATCTTATGAAATCTTGTACCAGAATAAGTGCACAGTCTGATGCATGCTTGTACAGAAAAGCATCCTATGACTCCCAACCTTCCTCAGCCAGCATGCATAAAATAGCACACTAAATATATTAGTTTTTAAGGTACAACACAGCTGTTTGTTACCTTTGCTGCAACAGACTGTCATGGCTGGAAATGGCTGCAGCTCAGCTCATTGGAGATACTGGAAGTTGTAGCCATTATCAAAACAAGTTTGGAGGGAGTCAAGTTGGAGAAGGCTGAAATAGACAATAGTGGGGAGAGAAGTTCCTCCCCTTCTAAACTATGTTTATTGGACTCTCTTCTCACTCAGACATAGTTTCTGAGCAACATATCTAATTGCATGGGGTGCTGTAGATAACGGGCCTCATCTTCTCATTCCAATTTGCCTGGTGGCATGCATACTTACAAGTTTATTTTTCAAATGGTGATGAGGTCTAGAGACTTAGTTCTATTCTTAGGAGGCTGCATTCTGTGCCTAATATCACATTTATATGTAATTCCAGTGTATTCACTGCCTTGTCCATAGTGAAGAATCAAGCCATGTGTTATTTGTAAATCTTTGACTCCCTCTATCAACAGGCTGAGAAGTTCTGAGTTGTAGCTCCAGCTTTATACCTAGCACTACTCTGCTTTGACATGAACCATGGTCCACAACTGATCACCTTTACTCGTGCTCAGGAGGAGTCAGATCTGTGGAGGGATGGGCAAGTCCAGAAAAAAAGCTGTAGAGACTCCCATGTCTTTGGCCAGGAGGAAGGCGATGCTGCTGGGGAGGCAGCACGCAGCTTCTATGAGACCCTGGTGCTTCCAAGTGATCATGGGAGGACCTCACAGAGGAAACGAAAAGTGACGTCTGTCCCTCGCCACCCAGCAGAGAGAGCTCCTTGCACCCAGAGCCACCCAGGACAGACAGATGCCCGCAAAGGAAATCAGCTCTTGAAAGCTGCCCAAGATGGCAACCTGACATCTTTGCGGATGCTGGTGGAGAAGGAAGGCTGTGATGTGAACTACAGAGATGGCTATTACTGGACTGCTGTGATGTGTGCCGCCTATGCTGGACAGGGGGAGGCAGTGCGATATCTTCTGAGCCATGGTGCTGCCTGGGTAGGGGTTTGTGAGACTCAGGGCCGGGATGCTCTGGATCTGGCTGAGGAAGCAGGACATCGGGAAGTGGTTGATGTCTTACAGGAAAGCGAAAGGCCCCATGTGAAGCGGGAACCCTTCAGGTAAGCTTCCTTGTTTCCATGAGATTGGCCAGTTGCTCTCTAGAAAACGCCTCCAAACAGACTTCATTTGGCTGCCTTCTGGTATTCCACATAATTAGAGTAGCCAAAGATAGACCTGTCAAAGATTGGTCCCAGCTTTGGTTTGTGGTTGTTTCCACCAGGTGATTAGAACTGTAGACACAAAAAAGCCATCTAGTCTAGATGTGGATAGAGTTTGCCTTCAATGATTTCTCCTCTTTTCTCCCCTCCTCTTCTTTCTCTCCTCCTCCTCCTCCTCCCTTCTCTTGACTAGAACCCCAAAGTTCACCAAACTGGAAATCCATTATATAATGTCTGGAAAAAAATGGTGAAGCCAGGTAGAAAATGGGGGCTTAGGATATAGACTCAATTCCCTCCTCTATCCCACAAGTACATTGGGATGACCTCCATGTAGAAGTGCAAACTTACAGAAAATGGAGCAGCCTAATTTAGGAGGTGGTTGTGATGGTAACCCATGGTGTTGCTGTTAAGCAATGCAGAAACAGATGTCCTTGCTACTCTTCTGCAAATGATCCAGTGACTTATCAGTAGATCCTGAGCCACCTCCATGATCTAGTCCATTCCTTGTCTCAAAGTAGGTTCATTCATCTCCCTTTTTCTCAGTGCCTTGCAGGAAAAGAGGTAGTTTATTTCAGACCAAATAGTTCCAGGTAATTCAGAAAAGCAGTGGCCAGCTGGTTGTAGTAAACAACATGGATGGACATCTTGTTGCCTCTTGAAACTGTATGAACCTGCCTTATACTGGGTCAGACAGTTGGTCTATCTAACCTAGCTCTGTCTATGCCAGCCTTCCTCATCCTGGTGCCCTCCAGATGTTTTAGACAATGACTCTCATCAGTTCCAGCCAGTATGGCCAATAGTCAGGGATGACAGACCACCACATCTAAGAGCTCTGGGTCATGTACTCCTGGTATAGAGTTTAGGTTTCAGATAACATAGGACAGAGGAATCAATCTAAACTTGGAGAGCTTGTTTGTCAAGGCTGGAAGTAGAATAATTAAGTTGGAAGGGACCAGAAAAGTCATCTGGTCCACCCTCACGCCATGCAGAACTTTGCAGTTAGCACATTGCTGGCAGATGCCTTCTCCAGCTGGTGGCCTCGGCAGTGCTATCTGGGAATCTTGGAAGTTTGCGTTCCAACAAATCAAGAAGGCTAGGAAAGGGTGACTCTGCTTACTATTTGTGCAGCCATGACCTGCCTTTCCTCAGTCAGCTTGTTGTTGTTCTTGCAGCTCGCAGGCACCGACAGAAAGAAAATACTGTGCTGTGTGCCAGATAAACTACAGTGAAGACACCGTGGCTCTCCATGAGCGCTCCACTGCCCACCTCTTCAACCGGCATGACCCGCTACCTCCCACCCGCTACCACATCCCAGAGAACAATGTGGGTTTCCAGCTGATGGTCAAAGGGGGCTGGGATCAGGAAGCTGGCCTGGGGCCTGAGGGCACTGGCCGTAAGTTCCCCATCCAGACTGTCCTCAAGCGAGATCAGAAGGGCCTGGGATTCTGCAGCAACCTCAAACCCAAGGTGACCCACTTCAGTGCCAATGACCCAAGTGCTGTGGAGCAACACACAGCCCAGCAGCCCCGGAAAGAACGGGCAGCAACAGTGGGGAAGCGTGAGGCCCGCCGCAGAGAAGCCAGGTCTGCTGCTTGGGAACGCAACTTCCGTACTTACATGAACCTTGATTTTTGAACTCTTCTTGCAGGGGTGAGAAACCCATTAACTGCCAGATGTTGCTTGACTCCCACCAGCATGGCCAGTAGGAAGGGATGCTGGGAGTTGTAGCTGCATAGCATCTGAAGGGCCGGTGGATTATCAGGTTGTCTACAGAGCCGAGTAATGAGCCCTCTTCCTCCTTTTGGCACAGTTGAAACCATAATATTGGAAGGGGAGGGAGAACAACAAAGAGCTGTTGGCCAGGAACTAGAGAGAACCAGAAAGATCAACTTCCTTGTGCCCTTGAAGTAAAAAATATGTGTAGCTTAAGTGCATCAATTGGTAATGAGGGAGAAATTACTGGATATAATCTTGCTTTTTTTTTCTTTCTCAGTCAAGAAAAATTGGCTTTTAAGTCTGCTGCTGGATCACACCACTTCCAGTCATCCTAGGGCAGCAGTTTTAGGCGGAAAACAGACTTCCATGGTCTCCCTGAGAAGCAAAAGGCCCACATCTCAGCATGTAACAGGGAGATCATATGACCCATTCTACTCCTTGCGGCCCCTCCCTTTCCCTCCTCCCCCCTCAGTCCTAAGTATACCGTAGGAGCACTGAGGGTTCTGTCCACCTGTGCTGGACGTACATTTCACGTACTCACTCATGTGTTTTCCAGCACTACCGCAGCTTGAATTTGCCTTTCTTCTTCCCCAGGGTCATGATAGACTCTATCTACTTTCCAGCCAAAAAAGGAGTAATGTTACAACTTTGAGATCATCCTAGCAAATTGATTGCAGTAAGTGCTGGACAAACAATGTAGTTTTTCAGTCTGATGAATTTAGAGGTACTCTGAAGGGCTTTTCCAAAGTTAGTGCTAGAGTCTTGCACAAGGTAGAAAATGGGAATCCAGAGCTGTGCTTCTTGTTTCTACAAGCTGTTCAACTTTTACAACTTTCAGATTTTACAACCGCTTATGATGCATGCCAGCACAGGGCAGTACACAGTGTCTTATGATGTGTGCTTGCACTAAATCTCTTGCACAAGAGCACACAATATCTTCCAGTAGTCCTTCCTCAAGAGTTTTTGGAACAAGTGGTACTGCCAGGATTAATTCTGCTTGCTCATCTCTTTATTCAATCTGGTATATATACAATTTATGGAACTTGCTGTCACAAGATGTCTGGCCTTTAATAGCCTTGTGCTCTCCAAATATTTTGGGCTAACTTCTATTAGAACTGTTGCTTAAGCTGACCAATTCCTACAGCTGTAGCACCAGTAATGTTTGAAATCATGTGCTTGGGCAATGTCCAGAAACTGCCTCTTTGCGTGGAAGTTATGATATGGGTAAACTTTGTATTAGAACACTCTTCAATATTTTCTGATGTCCATGTGCTTTTAAATTATTTGCCTGGTTCTTGAAAGTTAAAATTTGATTAGTGTAAGTAGATTTTCTGTGCCCTTGTGACAACTAAAAGACTGAGACTACAACACTGGAAAGCTAAGTTCAGTGGATTGAAGACATTTAGCAATGCTTTCAGTATTTCAGCAGATGACATGAAGACACTACTGGACATATGTATGGAAGTTTGGTATGCCTTTTCTGCAACTTAGAAATGATTAATACATTTGAATTTATGCTGTTTAGATATTTTCATATCAGTGTCACTTAATTTTCTTGTTTCTTTCGTGTACATGTGTGTTTTCATAAAGGTCACTGTACAAATAAAAGCTCTCCTCTTGACCCCCCCCCCTTGCATGGCCAAAAGACAGGATGTTGGCACTTTGAGTGCAGCGGGCTAAGCAAATGCATGGAAGAGGACAGATCCCTCAATGGCTGTAGCTGTAGTTGGCTTCATTTTCACTCCATTTCAGAGACTTTCATTAAGAAGCAACTGCAGGGAAACACATGGGCACACAGCATCATGTGGAAAATAATGAGCAGGCACATGCTTATTTATGTATTATATTTATATCCCACCATTTTTCCTTCCAAGGAACTCAAGGCAGCTTACATAATTCTCTTCCTCTCAATCTTACCCTCACAACAACAACCCTGTGGGGTAGGTTGGGCTGCGAGTCTGTGACTGGCCCAGAGTTGCCCACTTAGCTCAATGGCTGAGTGGGGACTAGAACCCAGAGCTCTCAGATTCCTCAGTGCCATACTCCTAACCACTACACTACACTACACCCGTTATCAAGCTTGCTAACAGCCTTTCATTCCAGGTTTAGGGCTCATTAATTAGACTGTAGTGCAGACCACTGCTGCTCCTGCCAACTGCAGCATAATATTGCTATTAATTGTGGTATGACTTTGCCAATCAGTTGCTACTAATACCAGTACTTGCTTATGGTGGGGATGCTAAGCAGGAGCATTTGCCAGTCAGCAGAGCCAGAGACTATGTTAGAGCAACAGCCACAACTGTTTGCCAACCATATCGTAATCATACGGTTTTAAAATAAAAATATTTCAACAACAAGTTAAAACTTTATTTAGTATCTGATTTTAGAGTGGATTATTAGTTTGCTGTTGGTTTATTGTTTATTGGTTGTTGTTAGTGGTTATATTGTGTTTATTTTCCTCCTGTTCCTATTGGTATGGTTTATATTGTATTTTAATTCTGTTTTATGATTTAAGATTTGTTTTTCTTATTTGTGTGTGTGTGTGTATACAGAGCGCACTGTGAGTCTCCCAGAGTCTCTGGCTATGGGACAGCATAGAAATGTGGTAAATAAATAAATATAAATTATCATATAATTAGTTATTTTTAATATAATAATAAGCTAGTGCAGTGTATTGGTGAAAGTGCTAGACTGGGGCTTGGGGGATCTAATCCCCGTTCAGCCATGAAGCTCACGGAGTGACTTTAGGCCAGTCTCAGCCTCTCAGCCTAACCTACCTCGCAGGGTTGCTTTGATGATAATGTGGAGAAGAGGAGGAGGAGCATTATGGAGCCACCTTGGGTTCCTTGCCGGAAAAAAGGCAGGATAAAATAATACTCTTGCACCCTGAGCTTGTGCAGTTCTGTATTTTAAAGTCACTTAAACCACTGCACCATCTTCCAGGTGTCCCCTCAAGAATTTTGAAGAGCCACTGCGGTGTGGTGGTGAGATTGCTGAACTGGGGATCTAGGAGATCAGGGTTCTAGTCCCCATTCAGCCTTCGGGCCAGTCAGACTCTCAGCCCAACCTACCTTACAAGGTCGTTGTTGCATGGATAAAAATGGAGCTGTGCAAGCTGTCTTGGGCTTCCTCACAAGTGAAAAAAAAAAGAGTGTAAATGGCATGTGACAATAATCAAAATCCTCGTAATTAGAGCTTGCTGGTCTCTGGATGCTCATTTAGGGAGCCTCTGGCCTGTGAGACCCTCAAATTCAGCTCCAGCAACAACACTGGCCCCATCATCCCCTATCATTTACCTGGAGATGGTGGGATTGAACTCCGAATCTTTTGCGCATGAACACACACACACTTCATTGGGAGGAACGTAAGAAGCTGCCTAAGTTCAGCACAGCATTGTCTGCTCCAGGACCACAGGACTGTTTTTCTACCAAGGGCTGTTGACCCACAGAAAAATACCAATGGGGGCCACACAGGCGTAAGAAGAGGAGTGCCTTCCAACGTCACAATCTGGGCCTCCCAAGCAGAAAGAAAGAGTAGAATGGCTTCACTTTTCATGCCGTGACCTGCCTTGCAAGAGTCATTTGCCTGCTTAAGTTCCTTGCAGGGCACATCGAACTTGGCTGATAAGAACCTAAAGAAGAGCCCCACTGGATGAGACCATCAAACCCAAGCTGTTGTTTCCAACAGAGGACAGCTCTGGGTAATATGGAGGCAAGAACTTTCCCCTCTCTCTTTGCACCCCCAGCCACTGAAACATGGGGGTTTCAGAGGTAACAGCCTTGGACAGAACTAGACTTTATGATCTTAAGAAAAGAATAATCTAAGCAGCTGATGTCAGAATCCCGGAATCTCAATTTGAGAAGAGGGAATAAAACTCGGGTTCGTGGGAAAGACCAAGCGTCCAGACCATCTGAGGCTTTATTGTTTTACCCCCAAGGTTCCCGTGGTACTCACAATAATGCATGCATTACCTGGCAGGCAGAGGTGAACTCTGCTGCCAAGCTTCAACACATTGCAGGGTATTTTATAGGTACACAGGTACAGGGCAATTGATGGCAGAATGCAGAGATTACAGTAAGATTCTGAGGTCATCACATACAGAACAGATAAAGAAATGTCAGTCAATCACACTGTAACAATGAGATTAAAATATTTCTAATTGCCTGTATTGACACTTGAACCCATCTCCAGGTCTGCTCAGACATGCAAATTCAAGCTACTAGCAACTATTCATGATAAGCTCAGACCCTTATCTTGACTCTAAACATTCTGCATGATCAGGGCACATGAAGCCCTCTGGGCTATCAAAAGATTATTGTAAACTGAATTCCAACAATGACTATTTACAATGTATATTTGGGCTAAAATGGCCTACTGTAGCCTACAGCTAAAGGTGAGAGAAAGGAGCAGGGGGGGGAATGCCATTTTAAACAGTGACAGCTTGGTTTTGAGAAGGAAGACAGGATTTGATGCCACAATGCAAAAGCACACAAAAGTAATGCTTTTCAGACAGGATCTACCCAAATTTTCCCAACACTGATTGTCACCTTATCTTGTGGCAGTGAGTTTCACAGGTTAATTACAGATTGTAATGTGGCACACAACTAGCTGGGGCATTGGGGATGCTTGCCCTGGGTGTAATTTCCCCAGGGGCAATAGGCATTAAAACTGGTGCACAACAATGTGGTTGCGCCATGTTTTCTTTCCATGATGGAATAATTTATTGAGGGGCAGTGTTGTCTAGTGGCTAAAGTAACTGAGGTGAGAAACCCGGGTTCAAATCCCCACCCACCAGAAGCTGCCTGCAGCGGACCTTTGGTCCATCCTGTTCAGTATGGTTTCTCCTATCTTGTCCTATACAATGTAAAATTTTAAAACAGCAATATAAAATAGATGTAAAGGTCAAAGGAAAACGTAGAAACAAAGCACAGATTACTGCCAAGGATTAAAAACAAAAGAAATGGAAAGAAATTCCTAGAAAATCAGGAGGTCTTCTCTGAAATTAGAGGCCAGGCGCCCCGCGGGCCAAGCCGCCCGGGGGAAGGGCGCGCGCAGCGTGCTCGGGCCCGGCCGCCCCTCGGCGGCCTCCTGCCCACAATGCCCCGTGGCCGGCAGGCTCAGGCCCGCGCCCGCGCCCCCAGCCCGGCGAGCGGCGGCCAGGGCAGGCGGTGTCCTCCCGGTGGCCAGGGGCGGGCCGAGGCGAAGCGCCAGCGCGGCTCCTCGGGGCCCGGCGGGCTGCTTGCAGCAGGGCGGCCGGGCTCCGGGCCAGCGCTCGGGGGGCCTGCCGCGCATCCGTGCACGGTGACCCGGGCGCGGCAAGGCCAGGGCCGGGAACGGCACAACCCGCGCCGGCGGCTGATCGCGCGGGGAGGAAAGAAACGAGGGGAAAGCAGGCGAGGAGCGGCCTGGTGCTCGTAGGAGCGCGCAGCCAAAGCGCGGCCGTCCTCGAACCCCTGCAAAGGGGAGAGGAAAGGAAAAGAGAAGGCAGGCCCAACGCACCTGCTCCCGCTCATCCGCCTCCCCGGTGTTGCAGCTGCGGTCGCTGCGAAGGGACGTTCCCGTAGGAGCGCGATAGCCCAATAGCCACGGAGGGGTTGTCGGTTCTTGGGTGGCTTCGGAAGCAAGTGGATCCTTCGAGAAAAGACCCCTCAAGAAGTGCAAGTTTCGGAACTCAGGAGCGGATTTGGGGTGCAATTCTGTGCAAAGCTGCAAGGAAAAGAAGCCATGCTGGGGCATTGCAACCTGCCCATCCCTGGATCTTTTGGAGCACACTACCCAAGGTTCCCAGCCTTCTCACGTAGTGTGTGGGCAACACAATACTGCAACAGTTTGCAGGACATTCCGTTTTATTTGGAAACTGGGTGGGTGGATTTGGGCATCCTTTCCCTTCAGCTTCCCTCTGTTCAATCTCTATGTATTAGATTTCTACCCCATTTTTTACGGGTTTTTTTTTTTTTTTTGGAGAATGCAATCCAGCTTAAATCATTGTCCTCCTACTCTCAGTTTTATCCCCAAGCCAACAACCCTGCAAAGTAGGCTGGCTGAGAGGCTGTGACAGGCCCAAAATCACCCAGTTGGCTCTATGGGCAGAATCTCTTGAGTCCCAGTCCAGTGCTCTTGACTACAGAACACTGGCACTGAGTTTTGGCTATTGAGCAGTATAAATATATATTAAAATACCAACCAACCAGATAAATGATAAAGATCTGACAAGAATGCATATTTGGGCATTTTTCATTAAATAACTGAATAATGAGGCAAATACATTTATTCAAAATAAATATTTGTTTTATTGCATAAATAAAATAGATTATTTTATTCTTGCTCACAGTCTTCAACCGTGCTGGCTGCCGGAATTCATCCAAACACTTCAGCCAGACCTCAAGCCAGAGTAAAAATTCAGTCCGATGCCATCCTTGCAGGGCTGGGCTTCCCCTTTCGCTGTTGCTGCTGCCTCCTCTGCGGATGCTTTCCAGCCAGCCAGTGTGGCTGACAAAATTCCCCAGGGCATCTCATGGAGATATAGTCCTCAGTGACATCTCTTCCTGAACATCTGCCTTTCCACTCTTTGCTCACCTGCCCAGATTTTGCACAGGATCATCCCTTGGCAACAATTGCCAAGCATTGCCAACCCCAGGTGAGCACAGCTCCTGAGAGGGCTTGACCCTCCGAAGGATGACTGTAGTATGAGCTTGGCCTCCAAAATTCCTGGCTTTTATCAGGGGTTGGTTTATGACCCGCAAGGAGAGGCAGCTTTGTGAGCACACAGGGAGCTGGAGGGTGCCGGCCTTCCCGCATTATGACACGAAAGTCCTGATCCCCACTGGGCCCCCAGGGGAATGGCAGGCCAAACCCTTTGATTGACCTTATATGGCTGATTGGTGCCCAGAGCATTTGCAAGCAAACTTCTGTGGCTTTAAGCCTGCTTCTCTATGCTAACATTTGCATTGCTGCAAGGTTTGATTTAGGGCTTGATTCATATTTTTACTGTGGCTTTAAGCTTACATGTTGCATTCCATCTATTGCACCGTACGGCTTTCATTGTTGTGAACCGTCTCAAGAGCTTTTCAGTGAGTAGAAACACAACGGATTGAGAGTCATGGAATAATAATAGTCTCCTTCTCTTCCACCTAAGCTCCGCCAAAGGCAGGCCGATGTCTGAATTTAACAACTCATGAACAGCTTCTCAAACACAACATCCATAGGATCCTCCCCATTCAGAGAAGGAGCGTGTTGCATCTCAGCAGTGGGTTTTTACCCTGAAACTGCAGCTCCTGGAAGAAGGATAATGGCAGCTACTGAAGCCAAACGTAGGAGGGACCAGAGTGACTTTCAAGCATAGCCACAGCCAATATGTTCTTAAAAAATGGAAAGACTACTAAAAGCCCAAAGAGAAAACATGCCTAGGATCCCCCAGACACCCTTTTTTAATCATTTCCTTTTTTAAAAATTGATAATCCTGAACAAGAACAAAAGCATACAATCATATTACAGCATGTACATTTTCAATAAAACAATAACACTTTACATCTCCATTCCAAGTCTATTCCGCAAGTCAATACAAACATTATGTACGGACGTGTGTGTCTGTGTGTGTGTGTAGAGAGAGAGAGTGACATGATAAACCCAG